GCCGCGATCACTGGTGCTCGCCTCATCATCACCGTGACCGCTTCTGTTAAATATTCCTCACTTCTTTTGTTTGTTCGACACCGAGATGCACCAAGAGTGACGGATACGCATCTCGGGCATCCCGCTCGATGTGCTTTAATTTTTATTTTTTTATTTGTAATAAACACCTCTCTGAGACCTGTTTTTGTCAGATCTCCACTGTTTTTGTTCGATCAGTTACATATTTTATTTGCATGTGCATTTTATTGTATTTAAACTTAATGGAGGTTTAAATTTTTTTTTTTTTTACAATGCTTTGATGTAATAAAATATTTTTTATAATATATGTAATAAAAAAAAAGATATAATTAAAAATGAGGGTTAGTGATGACTAGTAGAAGCATTCTTGCAGATTTAGCTGTATATATATCTCAGATCTCCAGTGTTGCGTTTAATAAGTGATCATTACGGCCCAGATCTCAGTGTGTTTGTGTAGTTTTATTCCTGGAGCAGAGCTGCGGTCGGTTCTGAGCAGCTCAGTATCTGTGAGCTGATGTAACGCCACACAGTAACGCACTGATGACATCAGAGCCAAGCACTTCCTGTTGCATCAGCATCATCAGGTGGAATATAGCACACTTTTTTAGCAGTTTTTGCTCCCATTTAAAAGAACAAACAAACAAAAAAAAAGTTTCATTTAAATGCATCCAAAAGCACACTTGAATCATCTCCTCAGAGATCCTGATACACTGAAAAAACAATATTGTAGATTTACTTTGAAACAGTTTTCACTCAGAAACTGCTAGTAAATTTCACAAATAATCTCAAAGAAATGGCAAATAACACAATGAATTAAACATGAATTTCTGAAGCAGATAAACTAAAATTTTATTTTCCTGTACTACAATGATCTTTGTATTATTTCAGTTTATTTGATAAAAGAATAATTTTTACAGTATAGATGTTTGTAGAATAAATTACCATTTTTTCCCCATGTTTGTATATTGTATATAATTTAAGAGTTAATACATTTTTATACAATGATAATTTTATTTAATATATCAAATAAAATTCATTAAAATTTAAATATATATTGTATAAAATATATTATATAATTATCTTTATATAATAATTGCATTTAATATTTAGTATGTAAAATATTAAATGTGAAATTAAAAGAAAAAATATTGTATTTTCTTGTAAAACATGCTCCAATAATCTTTTATTTACAATAAAAAAAATAAAAAAAAACATTATATACATTGGTTGAAGATCATTTTCCAAAAGGAATAAATTACCAATTTTATCACACAAAAAAAAAAAATACTACTTATAAAATAATAATACTTCCAGAACTTGACTTCCATGTAAGAACTTCAGAATAATTGCTGCAGAAAGGACGGCTGAGATACATGTGTGCATTACTCAAAACCTCTCTAATGGCGAGCATCCATCTTTTTTCCATTTGTAAAAGCTCGTATTGCGCTGACCTTCAGCAGATGAACGGATGAAGCAGAGAAATGGCTTCACTTTAATTTATTTATGTTTAATGTGCGGCTCAGGTCTGTCCTGGCATCGCTGCTCTGTTTTAGACCACTTAAACCTGGGCAGGATCCATCGAGTCGCTGCAGTGGTTTCCATTAAAGATACGATGGGCCCCGGCAGACCCCTGAGACCCCGAGAGCAAGCGCAGATCGCATTAGAAACCGCCAGCGGCCCCCGAAACACATAGTGCTCTGCAGAGTCTCAGCGTTTACTGCCACCGCGTGCAGATGGCCGCATTAAAGCTCATATCAGAAGTGTTTTATCAGGCTGGGGTTTAGCGCTCGCTCGTCCAGGTGCGTTGATTACGGCTCCTGTAGGTTGTGCCAGTGCCAGAGCTTTGCCAGAATCAAAGTTTTAAGGCAAATCTGTCACTCTTCTATATATATGATTCAGGATTTAATATACAAAAATTCAAATTTAGATTTTTATAATCAGTATTTAATAAACAAAAAAGCTAATTTAGATTTTTTTATATGTGTATATGATAATTATCTCTCTCTCTTTCTCTCTCTATATATATATATATATATATATATATATATGACCCTGCAGCACAAAAGCAGTCTTAAGTCGCTGGGGGATATTTGTAGCAATAGCCAACAATACATTGT